TTTAGGTTATCAGTATTTTATTTTCAATGTGGCATGACTTAGTTGCCTTGAAACCAAGCTCCCTTCACAGATCACATATATTTGCTCCCACTCAATCATTACGTCTGCACTTAAATGAAAAAATGATACAGTACAAACAATAGTTAACTGTACGGGTACCAACAAGGAAGGTGAGAAAGTAAAAGAAGACGAATGGCAAAGGAATGATGTGACCTAATTGAATGAGTCTATTGGCTGCCTACTCCATACTGGCCCCTAATTTATTTTATGGATTACTTGAGTACACAACTCAAATAACTAACAACTAGGGGTGTACCGGATCCGTTTTTTTCAACCGGATCCGGATTTTCTTATGCAAAATCCGCCGGATTCCGGAATAATCCGGATTCCGGTTTCTCCCGGATTTTGGTACTTTGCAGATACCGGTAAATCTGAGGGGTTGGATGCCTTCTGAACAGTTGGCCTAAATCGTGATCGTGTCGAATTCGGGAAAGAGAATTACTTTTATTTCAGATTATGATCCGGTGAGTCACAAAATCTGGCAAATTCCGAAATCCAGTATATTCCGGATTCCTGTTGTTCCGGATACATGTAAATCCGGCGGAACCGGATTTCACCGGATAGTGCAAAATCCGGATTCCGGCACACGCCTACTAACAACCAAACAAAAATTTTCTCAAGTCAGTTAAGGTTTTTTTTTTCTATTAAATTATGTCCCAGTGTGTTAGACCCAGTAGACAGATATGGTAAAAAAAAAAAAGACTACTCTTCCTAAAATAAGTCTCCTTCTCATACTTTATACAATGGCATCCTTTAACTTTAAGATGTTCATTGCAACTACCTTGTGAATTAGGTCAAGTCAAATGAGAAAGGATGTTGAAAGGAGATTCAAGATATCAGGAAAAACAGTCAGTGTCTGCATGTATGACTCCCAGTGCCAAGGAAAAGGTTTAAAATTGGTGGTTTTGTTCTGACTAAGCCAAGCTCTCTAGAGGAATAGTTGAAATTAATTCATTATGAATGAAATTTTCATTATTTAGAATACCTAATTAATTTATAAATTACTGTGTGATTAAATCTTTTAACTTAAACAATACACATAAATAATCTTAAATAAAGGATGTAATTTTAATAATTAAATTAATATTATTACTTTTCTAAAATTCAAATGAAAACAAAAATGTATCTAAATCATCTTCATTACTAGATTTTAAAAAAAATATAATTGACCTACAAAAATGGCTTAAACTTAATAAAGAAAAAAAAATCTACCGGTACTTAAGAAAGGAAAAATAAAAAATCAACTAAAAATAATAAAACTATTAATCAATGAAGTAGAAAATGATAAAAATCAATTTTAAAAAATAATTATCATACTATTATTGTTGTCACAATTGGCTCCGAAGCCATTTAATATGTACGGAGCCACTCCGGGTGCGAATAGTCATTGGCGACCATAAGTACCCGGGTACCTATAGATGCAGCCCCTACTTTAAAAGCTTTGCTTTTATAATAAAATGTAATTTGAAAATAGACTGCATATGTTTAATACCTAGCAAGAACTATTGTTAGAATTTTAGACCTTGTTATTGATGAAAAGGTAGTTTAATACAGTGTTGTTAAAGACTTTAAATTTGTCAAGTTGCAAAAAAAAAAAAAATAAATAAATAATAAATGAATACAAAAAAACGATGAGTGCGAACAACAGGACTTGGCTTATTAACAGGAGCAGCCAGTACGATTTGTGTAATCGAATACTGTATCCCTTCAACAAGATTGGCCTTAAAATTAAATATACGGATCATAAAATATATCAAACGTAGCGATACTTCATAGATTCCACTAATTGTAATTGGTTAAAGGCAACAGATACTATTCTTTTTAAAACTTAAAAAAAATAACAATTTAGTCGTTTTTAATATAAAAAAAAAATATAATCGTTATATTGTTGTACACATTTTGCGGGGGGGGGGGGGGCACTTGCCCCCCCCCCCCCCCCCCCCCCACACCCCAGAGAGATGGCTGAAAGAAACCGTGACGTTGAGACAGACAAAATCACAACGTTGAGACAGACAAACGCAGAATATAGACTTGACAAATCCAAAATAACAAACTGCAGGTATCCAGATGATAAAATAGAATATATTTATACGAATATAAAAAGCTCACCTGTAGTCCTCACTAATTGTCAACCATCTCAAAGTTTCTATATAGTTATACCTCTACGTTACCTACTTAAGCTTGACTGTTTCTACTCTGCTCAACTGTATCGTCTCAACTATTCCTCTGTTCAATTAGTCAACTGTCGTCTTAACACACCTCTCTCAACAGTTCGAGTGTTCCCATAAGCTCTAACTTATATCTAGCCCTCGCAATACTACAAACTACCCACCACTCGAATCCCACGGTTACGGACTTTGCTACATTAATAGAGACTACATTCTGCCGGCCAGATCTTGTATAACGGACGCCTATCACATGTCTCTATCCGCAACTTAACATCTATCAAGTTTGGGATTTTCCATCACGATACTTAATCAAAATAACATCACCCATGATCTGCAGGATAGCACCAACCATGATCTGCATGATAACACCACCCACGATCTGCATGATAGCACCACCCATGATCTGCATGATAACACCACCCACGATCTGCATGATAGCACCACCCATGATCTGCACGATAACACCACCCATGATCTGCATGATAACACCACCCATGATCTGCATGATAGCGCCACCCATGATCTGCATGATAACACCACCCACGATCTGCATGATAGCACCACCCATGATCTGCATGATAGCACCACCCATAATCTGCATGATAGCACCATCCATGATCTGCATGATAGCACCACCCATGATCTGCATGATAACACCACCCACGATCTGCATGATAGCACCACCCATGATCTGCATGATAACACCACCCACGATCTGCATGATAGCACCACCCATGATCTGCACGATAACACCACCCATGATCTGCATGATAACACCACCCATGATCTGCATGATAGCGCCACCCATGATCTGCATGATAGCACCACCCATGATCTGCATGATAGCACCACCCACGATCTGCATGATAACACCACCCATGATCTGCATGATAGCACCACCCATGATCTGCATGATAGCACCACCCACGATCTGCATGATAGCACCATCCATGATCTGCATGATAACACCACCCATGATCTGCATGATAGCACAACCCATGATCAGCATGATAACACCACCCATGATCTGCATGATAGCACCACCCATGATCTGCATGATAGCACCACCCATGATCTGCATGATAACACCACCCACGATCTGCATGATAGCACCACTCATGATCTGCATGATAGCACCACCCATGATCTGCATGATAGCACCACCCATGACCTGCATGATAGCACCACCCATGATCTGCATGAAAACAACAAAACTCATTACTCTTGATACCCTTTCCCACACTGTCCTTTGGTAACCACCTGATGTATCCTTGACCGGCTTGGGTCCCATGCTATGTCTTCCCTGCATTACCCTAAACCATCATTTAATGCCAAAGTCGACCCCTCCCTCGCCTAACGTATCTTTGACCGGTGCCTACGGCTATCGTTCCTACTTACGGCCCTGGCCATTTGGGACAAAATGCATGGTCGGTCTAAAAGCGTTAGTGACAAGGGCACTGGGCACAACCAAAATTGGAGGTCATAATTATCTGTACGTTTTAAATAGTTGTATGATGTTCAATAAGTAAGCCCGGGACGAGATCATACAACGATGACAAGTGTTCTTATAAAAAAAAAACAAAAAAAAACAGAGGCCTGTCGCAGCAATTTACAGTTTGAAATTAATTGATAACAATAATATACAAAGGAAATTGACCTACGAGTTTATTGTTTTTGTTTTTCTCAAATGAGCGGCGGTCAATCACGACCCGCTTCGGGCGTTACAAATTTAAGTTATGTTCGCCACTGATGCAGAGGCGTAGCGTGGTGGAGGCAGGGGGACAGATGTCCCCGGGCGCCAGCTAGTTAGGGGCGCCAAAATGTGCTTTGATAATATTTTATTGATGAAAATAATGGGTTTGAGAGTTGAAAAAAAGAAAAAAAGGGGCGCTAAAAATGGATCTTGTCCCCGGGCGCGAATATTGTCCCCGGGCGCCAAACACAAGTTCTGTCAAATGTGCAATTTTCGATTTGACGTCACTCCCTGAGAGGATGTCACCCGGTGCGGCCTGCACTCCCTAGTGACGCTACTGCTTACATATTCAAGTCGTTGGGGGGGGGGGCAGTGTTGGGGGTTGCGGGAAGAATAAGAAAATCAGGTTTATTCGGAGGTTATCATAATTTGTTATTTTGGGGAGTTCGGGAAGTATGTTTTGAAACTGATATACCCCCATATGAAATGATAGTGGGACATTTTTTTTTTTTTTTTAAATCAAGAGGGGTTGCAGCGTTGCATAAAGTTTTTGATAAACGTTAAGATTCCCTCCTCCAACGGTAATAAAACTTAAAAAGAATAAGAAAATGAGGTTTGTTCGGGGGTTGTCATAATTTGTTTTTTTGGGGAGTTCGGGAAGTATGTTTTGAAACTGATATGCCGCCATATGAAATGATAGTGGGACATTTTTTTTTTTTTTTTAAATCAAGAGGGGTTGCAGCGTTGCATAAAGTTTATGATAAACGTTAAGAATCCCTCCTCCAACGGTACTAAAACTTAAACAGTGAATAATTATTCAAATTATTATTATTTCAATGTCATTTTTTGTGTCAAGAATGTTATCAGAAATTTATAATATGTTAAGATTCATTCCACCAAATATATTATAAATAATTGTAAAAGAATAGCAATAAAATGTAATTACATGTTCCCAATATACAAGAGGCCAAATCATGGACCTGAATGTTTTGGATAGAATCTGCGTGAATAGTACAAACTGGCTCACGTAACACAACTCGCGAAATTTACTTGTTCCTTAAAATAAATAGCGTTAACTTCCGTAAGGCAACATTGATTAGAATATTTTGTCAACACGACGACAGCTGTCGAAATTGATGAATAAAATGGTGTTCTAAATTATAGTGAAGGTAATCTTGTAATATAAATCAGCGTCCGTGATTATAATTTCTAGGAGTTCTCTTTTCAAGATCAACATATTACAAAATCAATAGTATAGTCGGCGTTTATACGTTGACTAACTAAGGAGTAAGAGATAGAAGAGTAGAGTAGACTGTATACCGAGGACTCAATAGTCAGTAGACACTTAGTATTTACTATTTAAGTAGTCTCAGACTTCTCAGACGACTCAGAGACTGAGTCAAGTGAGCAAGGGAGCTAAAACTAGGTACTTGGATTCAGGGACGTGCTGGTACATGGAAACCCCTGACGTGACGAACGGTGTAATAAGAAAGGCCCGGAGATTGTAATAACTGCCCAAAAGGCCCATGACGAATGCTCGTTGCGTCGTCGTGGGCCAGCACGTCCCTGCTTGGAATAGAAAATTAAAACTTTTTGTAAAAATAAACCAATGACCAATGGCGTAGTTGAATAGAGCTAATTTTTAAAGAATTATAACGCCAAAATCATATTTTTAGCTGTTGTAGTTTTAAAATTATAAATTTTTTAAAATTCGACTTAATTTGTCCTTTTTAAACATGGACCGCATCTCCACATTCTGTGACCCAATTCTGCTGTTCGCGTCACAAGCTCTTGTTTTAATGATAATTTTATACTCAGAACTAATGCTGTATTTAAAATAATTTTAATAATGTTAACAATTATAAATAAATTGTAGCTTATCTAACTATTCACTATTTATATCATTAAATTTAATATAATGTATTAATATATGGCTTTTCTGTTTACCAAATCTACGACACCCATTATACCGATATATACTAAATAGTCTATGTAAGGCAACTTATGCCCTAATTACTAAAATACTGTTTGGGAACTATTGAACTTTCAACTTTGGTACATGGCTAATTAATTAAAGCTTTCCCTGATCTAGTTTAATAGCTTTTGCACACTGCAAACTTTTATGAAGGAAAACTCTGAGATAGTAGTAAATAATGGCCATTATTCAAGTCACAGTGAATGGCTGCCATGGCATTTTGCACACAGCAAATTATGATCATTTATAATATGGACTCTGCCGGGTTTTTTAACCTAAAATTAAAACAGTATTCTTTCAATAAAATTTAAGTTCATTCTAAAACATAAGTTATCAAATATTTTGATATAAATAGTGAAAATAATTGAATATTTCCTAAGTAATGGGGTCTTTCGTCAATGAAGTGGCCACTTCCTTATCGAAATTGGGCTGAGCTACATTACCATATAGGGATTTACTCAAATGAGCATAACAAGTGACCGACATGTCCTAACTCAATGAAAATTGACACAAATACACATCGATATATAATACAGAATAAGACTTTTTTTTTAAAGACATAAAAGTGAAAGATGGCTTTTTTTTAAAGGGGAATCTCAAAATACAAGTCGATTGAAAAATTTAAACAAATCAATGTAAATGTAGGCCAAGATGTCTACCTAATATAAGGCCGGAAACGGAACTCAAATATATGTCACAAGTACTCATTTAATAATATATAGACACACACATCAAAAAATTAAAAACTAGGATTTTTTGGCGCCGATTTCTATTTACGATACACAAAAAGTAGTAGTCTCCCTTGTTTCATCGAAGTACATGCTAAAGCTAAAGTACTGAGCTTAATTTTACAAAATTTTAACTTAAATTCAGTTTAGTCTACTAATAATAACTTTTAATAAGTTATTCTCTTTTAAATAGGAATAACTAGGCTAGTTAAAATACTAGTAGTTGTAGACTTACTAATTTAAAACGGGTAAATGCGAAGAGATAGCACCGTATTTTTTACCATGGCCGCTACCCATGAACTTTGACCGGTTCACGGGTGGTGGCAACCAAGATGTCGGCTGTGGAAAAATAAAATAACTCAAGTTTGCTAAAATTAAGAATAAAACGTTAAAAAATAATGAAAACATTTCCTAAATGTATCTCTAAACCTAACCTGAACCCTAAATTTATCCCTAACCTGGTTGTTAGTAGTAAGGTCGACGATGTCTCCTCGGTATAAAATAAGAATATAGGTAATTTGATTTTCAACCAATCAAAAGTGAGCTTCTTTTTTTCCACTGTTGTTTGTCTTGGTATCAGTAGTAAAGATATTTGGCCAGATGTGTTTCTATTTTCATTTCCTTTGAACCTTGTAAGCTAATGTAAGTTGAATTTGTAATAAAAACGAATGGGACATTTCATTTCAATATTTTTCATATTAACTTTATTGATCATCAAATTGAGTTATGATGCCAGTAATGCTCATTGGAGAATGGGAAAGTTATCATACACATTGTTCAGGTTTAAAAATTAGTCTATTTACCCAAGGGTATGCAGAGAAGTATTGGGCTCTGAGCAAATCCAAATTTTGGCGTGCACTTCAAAATAATTTTTTCTTACGATTTAATTCCGCCCTTAGGAGCCCCTTTGCGGGCTGGGCCCTGAGTGACGTACTTGGTTGCCTCAGCCTTTGCAGAACCCTCTATTCACCCTAAATCTAAACTTTACTGCCTAAGCCTAATTAATGGGCGTAATAAATGGTCGGCACGGCTACATGATGATGTGTGGTGAAAGTGTCTAATTTGTGATACAATTTTGTGATCGTTGGGGGAGAGTGTTAAATTTGGGCAAAATAGCGTGACGTCCTTTTGTGGATGGCCCCTTTCTTCTTTGAACCTATATGTTGTAAAAAAAATCAAGTGAAAAAATTTATATTTCATTTAAGTTCTTCACAATTTGAATAGATTTTGATTATGTTTTAAATAGCATTCATTTTTTTAAATTTTAGATTTAGTATGATCAAGAAAAGTTGCTTTAATTCTACTTTGCAAATCAGTTGTCTGTGAAATGGGCCTTCTCTTTTCAAAAATATGGAGCTTGTTTACCAACGAAGGTAATTGTTCATTTCATTCTTTATTATTAATTTCTACTGTAACATGACTGTATAAAACATATTTTTATCATTAATATTTTTAAATATATGGCCTTATATAACCCAATTTTATATTTATACTTGATAACTACTAACCTCTCTGTCAACAGAGCACAAAATGATTATTGTAGGCCTTGATAACGCTGGTAAAACAACAATATTGTACCAATTGTAAGTAGCCATCTTTTCTATACAGCTTAAATTAGATTTGTTCATTCTTATATTTTTTTTTTCTATCTGTAAGTAATATTTCTTACATTACATTCTTTTTTTGTGTTTTTTTTTTCTTTAGTTAAATAAAATATTACAATTAATTTACCAGAGACACAAACCCATTTACCAGCTTAAAGTGATATGCACAATAAATTCTGATATATCAGCTGAAGATTGTCGTATGCTGATGTACATCTTAACATACATATAAATCTTAAATCAGGATTTTTTTAACCAGGGGTACCATCAGGCACCCCCTGGGGGTAAGGGAGGCAGTACCAGAGGGCACAGGAAGATCCTCAAATTTTTTTAAAACAACAATCTTACACAGTGAAAAATACACCCCCCCCGCACACACACCCCCCACCCCCCCCACCATATTAAAAAAAATGAGAGCTGATTATATATTTCATCAGTTCAATGGTTATGTATAGCTGGCACATCTGATTCGTTTTGAATTTATATTTTAAAAAAACAAGGCAGTGCAAAAAACAAACATATTATTTATGTTATTGCGATACTTTATCATGGCCGGGGAGGGGATGTTTGAAATCAAGAAGGGTGCCACAAGCAAAAAGGTTTAGAACCTCTTTCTTAAATTGTCATTTTTGAATATTTAAAAAAAAAAATTCAACTCCTTGTATTTTGTTATTGAATACTGTGCTTCTGTTTTTCCTGCGCAGCCTAATGAATGAAGTTGTACACACTTCTCCAACTATTGGTAGTAATGTAGAAGAGGTGGTATGGAAAAATATTCATTTTCTCATGTGGGATATAGGAGGCCAAGAGTCTTTACGTGCATCTTGGAATACCTACTACACAAACTCAGAGGTGAGAAACACTCAGCTTTTAGTATTATCTGTAAAGAAAAGACATATGATGAGCCAGAAATGAATATGTGTTTATAATTTTCTTAAAAATTAAAGGTATGAAGATTGATATCAAGTCCATTGTTTGGTATGGTTTAGAATTTTTTTTGTGGCATATGCAAAATTTGAATTGATGTGAAATTTTTAAAAACATTTTTTTTTCTGCCTCAGTTTATAATTATGGTCATAGATAGCACAGATAGAGAAAGGTTATCAATAACGAAAGAGGAGCTGTATAAAATGTTAGCCCATGAAGTAAGTTCTAACCAATTTTAAAAACTATTCTTTTGTTATCCATTCTAGCAGTTAGTTTTGAGCAATAATTACATTATATTATATTTATATAATTTAAGAAAAATAAAGACAGCCATTGTTGAAAAAATTCAGAACAAAATTAGACACAACGGTCACTTTAAAAACTGTTTTCATTATCTTAAAAATATTTTGTGTGTGTGTGTATTTTTGTGTGTTAATGCTGTTTAAATATTCACTTATTTTAGGACTTGCGTAAAGCCGCTGTATTGATATATGCTAACAAACAAGACATAAAGGGCTGTATGTCACCTGCTGAAATCTCCCAACAGCTTAATCTGACAGCAGTCAAAGATCATGTTTGGCACATACAGGCATGTTGTGGCCTGACTGGAGAAGGGTAGGTTATATAAAATGAAAATATGTATCAAAACATCTGCAAGTATTGAAAAAATTGTCTTTCATGATTTTCAATTCATTGTAGGCATTATTTTCATCCGTTTTATTTGTTATATTGGTATGTTGAAAAGCTCAATTAAAATTAATATTTATGTTAGGATGAAATGTCGGTGAGATTTTTAACCCCCAAAGTTTAAAATATAATGTGTAATCAAATGAATCTGTTTCATTTTAAAGAAGATGTGAGAGTAAAAAAACAACGTAATACTCTTCTTGTTGATCTACATTAAAGAGAATGTTATTGTCATCCCTCATATTGATTTATTTTTAAGATCAAAGAACCCATCATCTTAGTTAATTTATTAAACTTTTTTCTTTTTTTTTTCATTTTGGTAGCATTATACCATTTAATGAGAGAGAAACCTCAGAGTTAATTCATAAAAAAATTAAAAATAAAATCATGGAACAATTCTAGCTAATTTTTTTACCTCAAGAAAAATAAAGCATTAATTGGCTTTTTTTAAAATTGAAACTCTAGACAAAGGGTCAGTTTATAAACTTATTTGTGGACAAGTTTAGTATCAATGAAAGGGAAATTGTAGGTCAGTTTATGAATTTATTTGTGGACAAGTTTAGTATCAATGAAAGGGAAATTCTATGTCACTTTATGAACTTATTTGTGAACTAGTGTAGTATCAATGAAAGGGAAATTTAAAAACATCAGATGATGCCTTAGACAGGTTTTTTGTTGCGGTGGTTCAGTACCAGAAGATTGGGAATCTTGGCTTCATTCCCTCTAATAACATGTCTTTCAATAATTATATCTCTCACATTTTTCACTCTGCTTACAGCACTATCTGTCACATCAGCTCCATTTGCTACTACCTCACAGTTAGCGCAACAAAAACCCTAGTCTGTGCTCTTGTTCTCTCTCATCTTGACTATTTCAACTCTCTTCTGTCAGGTTCACCAAAACACTTCATAGAAAAACTAAAAAAAGTTTAAAAAAACTCAGCTGCTAGGTTAGTTCTAAAGGCAAAAAAACGTGATCACTTCACTCCACTTACTTCATTGGCTCCCTTTACAAGCACGCATTGACTATAAACTCTCTATTCTCTGCCACAAATTTTTCTTGGATTCCTGCCCTTCCTATGTAACCATACTTCTTTCTGTTTATTCACCCCTTCGACAGTTTCACTCCTCCGCAGGCACGCATGTTTTTTCTGTTCCCAAGACACAAACTAAAACATACAGTGAATGATCTTTCTCTTCCTTTGACCCCAAACAATGGAATTCTCTCCAACTACACATCTGCAATGTAATGACCATCCAGGCCTTTCAAATGCACCCAAGACACATTTTTTTCAAACTCTACTATCCTGACTGATTCCCACCCCCTCTGACCAATAACCCATGCTGCTGGGTGCCATCCATAGCTTGACATGTAAAAAGTTCTGGGGTGGGCGGGGTGGATATATATTTTTTTGTTTTTATACAGCTGTTTTTTAATTAAATAAATGTATGTCATTTTTTAATGTCATGATTATATTTGCTCATGTTTTTATGACCCCAGCCCTAGGCAAGCGTACCGCGCTATATAAGACCACTGTAATAATAATCATAGTCTCACTAACACTTCACCTCAACAATGGCTGATAGCAATAAGTACATTTTGATTTTAGATTTTATAAAAAAAAATAGTCATAAGTTATTCCAAATTAATATATGTATATTTTTAAATTCATCATTGTTCACACTATATATATTATATCAGTGGGTCTTAAACACACCACAGCCCCCCCCCCCCCCCTTTTTTTTTCCCCCTCTTGTGCCATAAACTCATCTCCTGCACTTCCATGTTTTACCCTAATTGTGAACATAATTTACAGCATTATTTTGTTCATGATGCTTAAGGGAGGTCATAGAATAATTTGTCAAAGAGTAACACGTAATTAAACTTTTAGCTAAAATGTTATGAAGCTTTTTCACTTGTATTCATTCAGTAATAAACTGATAAACATGAGCCAGAGATACCACAACTTTTTAAAGGAGGATAATTATGAAACCAAGAACCAACGTTATGTCTTTGAGATCAGGGCCTAAAGAAGAATTTGTGTCTTCCATAGTGTCAAATTACTTTTAAATGTGACTGACACCTTTACTTTAGAAGCCAAAAAATTTTAGCATGTAGCAGCAAAAGCTCAAAATCTTTATTGTATTTGTACTCAACACATGTGCCCATTGAGAGCTTTCTTTCTTTCTTTATGCCTTTTTACCCCGTCTGGGGCATAGGCCGTCCACAAGAATTTTCCACTCATGACGGTCCTGGGCTTTCCTTTCCAATTGCTTCCAGGTGTATCCAATATTTTGTGCGTCTGCCTCTAGCTTCATGTATTCTTAGGCCTTCCTCTCTTTCTTTTTGAGAGCAACGGTTTTATTTTATTTACTCAAGCAATGACTGAGTCTTATAGCAACCAGATATTGGTGATGAATGTCGCAATGAATTGTACAGAAATGACACTGTATTTTGTCAATGAACACAGAAAACCATGGCACCAACAAGTTGTAGATCGTACCAACATGTTGTGGATGCTGCACGCTTGTCATACGTGTCCTGTTATTATCAGCTGTCTGTGAACAGTTAGATTGATAAAAGTTAATTTCTAGTAATAATCATGTCTTAAACATCTCCAACCGATGTCTATCGATGTCGCTTCTTTAATGTCATCGATCAAAATAGTATTTTAAAGGTAGAGTGTTGACTTACCTTATGTTTATTTGTAAAAGGAAATATTTATTATGTACTAATTTATGCTTAACCCTTTCTTTTAAAAAAAAACCTAGATTATACCAAGGATTGGAGTGGATTACTTCACATATACGGCGACGATGACACCACTTTGTAAATATCATATTTTATTTAGTATGGTGGAGAAAAAAAAAGTTAAAACTACCTTTGTTAGCATTATTTTAATATAATGTAATTGTAAAAAAAACAACACATTATGATTTGGAAACCTGTACTTCTGTTTGTTTTTGCATTGGCAATATTTTGCAATGCGATATTCTATTTTGATGCATGTCTTTTACTGTCTTTTATCTAAAACAATGCCAATATAATTTTAGTCCTACTACTTATTTGAATGAAAGTGATTGATACATTTCATCAGGCTCTAACAATATGTCTTTATTTGCTTGACAGAAAGTTTGTAAAGTCTTCCACAAGGCCTGCATTTTAGCTTTATCCTATTGTCACTTCAAAGCATTATAGTATTTTTTTCTTTTTTGAAGAGCCATTGAATATACATTTTTCATTGAAAAACTCAATCAATATCATATTAAAATACATACATACACACACATATATATACTTTTTTTTTTGCATAATTATTTTTTTTTAGTGAAATTTGCTAAATTTTCTAAAACCCAGTATGTACTTATGTATGACATGCTATGTATTCTAACAAAATACAAAACATAATGTAATACTTATAATAGTCCATCTGATAATGCAAACAAACAAAAAAAGCTTTACATGTCATTGAATAAAAATTCATTCCAGTAAATGTATCCTTGGAAAGAAAGTTCATCTCCAATTTAAAGGGAACAATTATTGCAGACATTTAATCTTTCAACAAATCTATGGAGGTTTTCACATTTTTAGTTTGCAGATTGCTTGGACATAGTTTTCATTTGTGGCAGCAGAATCAACTTCTATTTTCTTTTGACTACAAAACAAAAAATTAAAAATCAGAAATGTTTATTATGTCCGTTATATTTTAAATGGAGGCGTAAATTATCAGTTTCCTCTGTAACTCATCGCCTTCTTCCGAGTACTAGTAGAGCGTAGCTGAATTTTATGTTAATTATTTGGTTGAATGCTGTGAGCAGTTCCATCATATTGAAACTTCCCCTGGCTTAAAAGTACTCACTTTGTTACTGAGCTCTGCAAAATTCATTCATTTGGATGTCAAAATAATTGTTAAGAGTTTTTTAAACTATCATATATACTCGTTTATGAGTCAGCTTTTTTGGAAATATTTCAGGGGAATATAATTTTCTCCAGGTACACTTTATTTGTACCATATTGCCTCTACAAGAATATTATTTTATCGTGCTGGTTTATAAGCAGGTTACAAACTTTTCAGGCTTTTCCCATCCCAGAGGGGGTCGGCTTATAAACCAGTATATACGATAAATGTTTTGTGAGCTTAACTTCATAACATTTGATTGTTCTTATTATTAACGCTTTTCCCTAAATCTTTGGTCTCCTGTCTAGTCAGATGATCATTCCTTGTTTACAAGATAGGATTGAGATAATCAAATCTAGTTTGGGAGTATTCAATTGTCTCCCCTTCACAATTTTGTTCAATGAGCACTCACTCATCCATTGATTTCACTCCATAAATCCACCCAGAACAATCAGCTAAATCCCCACATCCTCCACCATTGTACTGGTCTCCCCTTAAAAACAAGGCAATGGTTATTGCAAAGGGGATTGATAAATATATTCTAATATTTTTTTGGCAGTTCCTCACAAAGTGGAGTAAGTGCAATTAACAGAAAGATATATTTGAAAGTAAAAATTTAAACATTCACTCTCAGGGTATGGAAGTTCCATTCATTCAAAGTTTTTGAAACAACCTTTAGATAACAGGTAGGTTAAGTGGCTTTAGTTGGATTTTTTGTTTACATTGTGTGCACTTAAATACAGTAGTTAATATTTACAAACTGAGATTTTTTTTACTGGTACTTATATGTTTCATGTTAAGATAGGATTATATTTAAAAGTGCTGTCATAAATTTCTGACTAGTCTGTTTCTCACTTACCAGTAAATTTTTCACAAGCATAAAAACCACTTGTAAAAAAAGGACGGAAGATATGGTTGTTAAAAGCTAAGGAGAGTCTAACAGACCCCCCCTCACCACACACACACACTTATTTTTGTTGCATATTTGTAGCTTTAGGGTTCAACCAAATATTGTAATTTACTACTCTCACACTTTTAAAGTTTAATAACTTACATTTTATGGAAAACTTTTCTTATGACAGGCCTTAAAATAAGGCTGCTAAGTGGTAGCTGAAACCTTTTGGTAGATTTCTTATGGGCTCACTTGACCAGAAACATAGCCATACAACTGATGGGCAGACATTTTTATTTATTGAGAGCAGTGTTGTTTTGCATAAATACTGGCCTGCTGTTTAACTTTATGTTGATGCAACTTAAAAGAAAAATCTCATTTCTTTTTTCTTTTTTTTTTTAAACTGAATAAGATGTGGGGAAAAAACATTTTAAGAAAATTAATGCAAAATTTTTATTGCCTCGGATCTACATCTTCATTTTATGAAAGCTTTAAAGGGTTATTTAATTTATACTTAATGCTTAATCATGCATGCATGCACAAGAACATTGTTAACTGCTATACATTTATTTATATGGCATCATGTAATATGTAATATTAAAAGAATAAAATATATAACAATGTTCCACCTTCATTACTCCCCTCCCACCAACAATCTTGTATAAATGATTTCACAGGTTATAAATCTTTAATTGTTTTTAAAGAATCAAACAATTGGTATTTTAAAAACAAAAAACATTACAAGACAATCTCTTCAAATTAAAATCTGCAGTTTGCGTTTGCTAGTTGGGTATTTTAAAAATATCTTTTTTTTAAAAAAAGAACTCTAAACAAATGATGCTCATAATTAAAATAGTGGGTAAATGGTTAATTTCCAAGGCTTTGAAATGAGAAACATGCACAAATAATATTTAATCTCAAATAGGTGTGGTATAAATTATCATAATTTTTTTAGGTGATATCAAATATGAAGTGAATAATTTGTGAACTTATTAGTGGTTTTAACATATTAACTGAGAAGTGATTACTCCTGTGACATTTTGTGCAGTGCATTGATTCTATACATTGATGACTTATTATTGTGGAAAGATCAATTATGTTGATATTATAAGAAAAGTTCACTTGCATATTTTGCCTGTGTTAATCCTATAGTTATTGATTGCAAAGAAATTAGAATGGCATGAAACTGGTGTAGGAGCTCAGCCTTGGGCAGATGGTTGAGAAAACTGAATCTGTTGTGAGATAGAGGAAACGAATGAGCTATGTTGTGTGCCATGCCGTAAGCTTTGTTTCTTTTGTTCGCGTCTTCTTTAGTGCTCAATAATAACATGTCATGTTTACCTCACTTTTTGGCCAGTCAATAAATGTCTTTCTGTGTTTTCTTCCTAAACCATATTCAACCTTGTGTTCACAAAGTGTGTGATGTTTGGCTATGGTAATGAATCAATATTTTTTTACACATATTGTGTATTCAATGAAAGTTTTTGTATGCAATCACACACAAACACAAATTCTTAATGTAAATGTGAGCAAGTCATTCGTCTGAGTGTTAAGCTTTTTTTATTATAAGGTTTCAGTTTTTGGTTATATGAAATTATAACTACTTCGAAGTGATTTAACTTGCATTATATATATCCATAAAAGTATGTTCCTTATACACTGAAATATCTGCAACATATAATTATACTGTTTGCAAAATTTAAATTCGATTTGGTTGGAATTGGCACAATGAAAAACGTATTAATTAAGAACAAAATAAACGGAGCTGTTTTGATTTCATTGCTAATACTAATAGTAATTCTAAAACCTGAAATTCAAGTGGACCAAAAATTCAAGCATATTAAAAATAAACTTATTTTAGAATTTATATGCATTTATTTACCATTTAATTTAAGACAGAATAAATTAAATGACCAGTGGTCCATAGACAAAATATCTAGTAGTTGATGTCAAGATCCATGGGCCATAGACAACCTATTTAGTAGTTGATGTCAAGATCAGTGGTCCATAGACAACCTATTTAGTAGTTGATGTCAAGATCAGTGGTCCATAGACAACCTATTTAGTAGTTGATGTCAAGATCAGTGGTCCATAGACAAAATATTTAGTAGTTGATGTCAAGATCAGTGGGCCATAGACAACATATTTAGTAGTTGATGTCAAGAGGTGGGCAGATGAGGAACAGCATCAAAAGAAGAAGGAAAAAACTCCCAAAAATACAGTTGAAATTTTAAGCTCATAAAATGTTTGTTTTGTCTAAAGCTTACTGCTGCAAGTTGAACATGAACATTAAATTATGCTTTTTCACAATAGTTCGTTAACATTCATTATCATTTGCCAACAGATTTTCTCACCATCTAGGAAACATTAAAATAGTCTCTTCCAGACAAGCATTCCACAGTAATGTGCCTTGATGTTTGTGCCAGTGCAGGGCTAAGCATCTAAAGCACATTTAGAACTCAAATGATATAATTACTTTAAGATAATCTTAAAGCAATTTGTAGTAACAGCATTCTGAAGTTGTTTTGTTACATACAGTTCAAAGATTTGAAAACCAAAGTAAAAAATTTAAATAGGTTTTAAAGATTGAATTTTTTTTTTTCCACAACATCCATAGATATTTAGTGGGCATTATTTTCAACTAATTTAGTTTATATTTAAAATGTCTGTTTATTTTTTGGGCCTTATATTTGCTCTGTGTTAGCAAGCCTTATAGATTTTTTCCAGAAAATTTTTATCTTTCCATCTAGTTTACGTACAGAAATACCTTATCTTTATGTGGATCTTTTAATTCAGATAGGTTTATTAAATCTAGGATTCTAAATGTGTTGTTCTGTTAAAATGTTGATTCAGATGTATAATTTTTACTCACCAACTTTTTCCTTATCCAGTAATTTAATATATGATCCAATTTATACATTTTTAAATTGGACAGCATAGGCTGTAACCGAGCTCACAATAATGTTTCCTTTCATGACTTAAGTCATTAGAATTGAGGCATACAAAAAATCATACATTATAATTTTGTATCCAATTTGGGATAAGGGCAGCTGTATTTTTATCATCAAGCTTTGTTGATGGGTGTAGGGTTATACATTAGCAATCACTAGATAAATTAGTGCTTCAGTGGTGATAGTATCACTGGCAATGATCAACACATTTTTGGGCGTGGTTATATTTATTATTGTTAATGTTTCTATTCTTAAAAGAATTTTTAATTAGGTCCAAATTATTTTTCTTGCAAATATGTTAGAGAATAACAATGACGCACTAAGTTCCCATCTAAAATATTTAAACAGAAATGTTCACAGCTGTCACATAAGTATGTGAATGATAATTGATATTGTATTTATTGAATTTATAAGGTTATAAGGTTGAATAAAAGAAATATTAGCATATATCATATATTTTCAATGAACATATTGATAAACTTTGAAATGTTTATAGATCTTGTTTCAGGGCCGCATACCAATGTATCACATTCAAGTGAAGTTCCATTTGAATTGTTTGAAATTCAAATATAATAATGTTTGCTTCAGTCAAATTCAACACATTTTTTTAACATATATATTTATATATATGTGTATATATCTCATCTTCTGCTTGGTCAGAACTTTAACTTAAAATTGCATATACATTTCTACTGTTTGTTAGTCATAGATATTCTTATTGGTGACCAAATGTTGTGTATTTGGTGATGATTATATGTTAGCTGTATTAGTAATGAAACTGGTAGAAAAATCAAAGTGTCATACTAGTTATAAAAAAATCAACGCACATAACATTAACGTCAGGAACCTCTGTAAGATTGGTGGGGATGGGAGAGAAGTGAATGTAGCTATCAAAACACAAGCTGTTGGTTAGTTTTTGGTAGAATTGAATCTATTATGGATGTGCCTGACTGCAGCAAACATCTGATGTGAAAGGAAGACTTGCTAGGTTTTTCAATGCTGACTTGAATTTGGTTAATGTGTTTCTGTTTATATAAATAGTTAAGGTTCACAACATCATCCATGATACGGTTATGCAAGTTTAAGAAATGTGTGCAAATGTAATAACATGGAGATGTTGTGACTTTCGGGGGATGGGACGCTGAAGTGGGTAAGCTTTGTATTATGTGGATAACTAAACTTGTATAACCATTGAACTTAAGTGTAGTGTTTGCATGTTATAAAAACAGGAATGAAGTAAAATTGATCTTACTCATTGCGTTATGATGATTTTCCTCATGATATAATGTAATGGGGTGATGTTGGATGCACAAGTGAACTTTTTCTTTAATGTTATTCTCAGTGCTGTATTGATGTAGTGACAAAATGTCTGTGAAAAAGTCAAATGAAAAATTAAATTGTGAACCCTGGTCTTAAGTGTTGGCTTTAGTTTTGGTTGTCATGACAATATAGCATCAGCAGCTTAAAAAGTAAGAGAAGCAGACCCTCCTTAAAACTTATGGAAGCATACATTTACATTATACCATCAGTTGTAGATCAAGATGTAATTTATTTATACAGGCAACATCAAATAGCACTCACACACTACTTAAATTAAGTGTGTCAAAGTTAGAGTGATATCCCCCGACCACATAAAAGATGCTGTTTAATTAATTTCTTAGAACCACAGCCATCAAGATAAATTTCTAAGTAACCATAACAGTCAGCAAGTACTTTGCTATATAAAAAGGATTAGAAAAAAAAAAAAGAAACTAAGACTTCATTATTCGAATTCACTTGGCTTCTGCAAATTATTAATAGATTGAAACAAGGAAAGCTAATGAACACCGTAAAAATACTGTATAAAATACATATAAAAGTATCACAATCTAACTTTTATAATGAGATTTTCACTCAATACGAGATTGTTAAAACAATTTTTTAAAATATCCTACTCCTACAATATGAATTTTACTTTCCCAAAAGAGAAAATAAGAGATGCAGATTATAACCAATGCTTAATATTACAACTGCCATTTGCACATCATCAGTGGTACTACAGCCCATGTAGGGCCCTGGCCTGCTCCACTAAACCCTTCCATTCGGATCAATCTGTGGCTTTCCTCCTCTATGCGCGGACCCCCAGTGGATGTAAATCCTACTCCATAACGTCAATCCATTTCATTCTTCGTCGACTGGTGAGCGGTCTGCCCCTAGGTTTCTGTTTGTGGATCATTTTTGCTGCTCTACAATCTGGCATCTCCTCAAGATGTCCTGTCAAGTGCTATCTGCCTTGTTTCGACTACTGGTGGGTCTCCGTACAATCTATCGCTTGGTTAGTACAGATTCTCCATCATTGTCAAATCTCCCGACCATATCAGATTTACCTCAGGATTTTCCTCTCTGCCATTCACACACCCACTCAAATAATAAAATGAAAGTACACCCTAATAGTTGCAAAAGTTTTAATTTACATCAATATTTTTAAAAAAGGACGTTAAAACAAGTGTATTTTGGCAGTGACATTTGTTTAAAACATGTCATGCAGGTTTGAAACTGTTTTTATTTATTAACAGCCAACAAAGAACTAATCTTTGAAAACAAAATTGTGAAATTCAAAAATCTTAAACTAAAAAAAAAAAAGGCAAGTCAGCAAACTACAAGTGATATCTAATTCTGCATTTTAAAGCAATCAAAAACATTATTTATTACAGGTTTGGAAATCCCAGTCAGCACTTGACACATGCAACAAGTGGGAAAAGTGAATTGTGGAATAACCTAGAGATCATTTCACTTCTATTTTGACATTTCAAGCAAAGAAATTAAATCTCTGTAGAGAAAATTAATATTTTTTAAGTGCTGCAGTATAATTTAGTCACAGCAGTATAGAAAACTGCTCCAGGTGACAAAATACTTGAAACATTGAAATTGGGAGTTTCAAAACAAAGTTTAATGTTTGAATCCACACAGCTGTGTAAATCACCATTTCTATTCACACCAGCTCCTGAATTTTGTATGCAAATTAATGGCAAATATGAACTTGCCTTGTCCTCTAATGTCAAGCTAAAATTTTTGCAGCATAAGGAATGTCAAGTTTTCAATAAAATTATGGTTGAAATATGATGAAAACTAATTTGTTACTTAATTTCCACTTAATAGCATAAATACTTGTTATTTCCATAGAAAGTCAAATACTTAACTTCCCATTTGCTAGAACTCTGGTTGCTTTGCTAGGTAGGTTGCTCATCCTTAGAATTTTCTTTTTTTATTCAATACCTTTTTAAAAGCTAAATTTCAAAGCCACTTCTACGACAGTGAATTAACATGTTGAAAAAGTAATGCAAAATGACTGTTTTCAATACATTTGTAACTATTTTTGATATTTTTATCAACATTTTCTTGCAATGTTAATCAATTATTACTAAATGTTGACGGTATTTACTGTAAATCCAGCCAACATAGCGAAAATTTATTTTGTTAGGCAAACATTATAGTTTAAAAAGCTAAGAAAATGTGCTGAGTTTGGGTGGGGAAAACTAATAAGTGTGCATCTATATAATGTAAACTAGTGTTTCTTAGCTTTTAAATAAAAATTGAACTTTAAAATTACATTTCATTATGGACATATTGTTGGCTATGTTATTTCATTTGAATTTTCAAATATAAGTTTAAATGTGCACGTTTATGGTGAATTCAGACCTAAAAGATTGTTTTTGACAGAGCTGGGCTTGGTATTGATAGCCGTGACTGGTTGGCCATAAAATGGTGGGTGGTCCTGATAGGCTTGATTGTCATGTCTATGCATCTGGCGAGCCTCACGCTTTCTGGCAGCATCACGTCTGAAATTAATATATTATAAACTTTAAGGTTATGAAGAGCTAAATTTTTATTTATGTTTTATGTCTGTCACGCAGATGTTAAATTTCTAAGTATTGAAATTGCAAAAAAAAAATTTAAAAAAAATCATTGTTTAAAGGTGTAAATTAATGTTTGAAAATAATAGGCAAAAGTAAAAATTTGCATCAAAAGATAATACAAAATTTTAGAAAATTTAAAAGATTAAAATTATATGTATTGCAAATTGGAGTTCACAGTAGCCAAGTTTTTCTACATTCAAGCTGGAATATTAATTGCTTTGTGTGGGTGTGTTACTCCCACTTCAAACTTATATTTTATTTTTGTCATTTTTAAAAATCGTTTATATTTATAGGCTTTAAATATCAAATATAAACTGTGATACTAAGCCTCACAAGATTCTATCAAATACAGAGGACAGAAATTTATGAATATCAGACATTCTATTGATTGACAATTGATTATTTCACAAATTTTTGAAGACACATAATTTTTTTTTGCTGTGACTGCCTCCAATACCACAGTGCATTATAGCATGGGCAAGATGTGAGTACATGGCTTTGTGGCAGCCTCCAATACAACAGTGCATTATAGCATGGGCAAGATGTCAGTACATGCCTGAGTGAGTAGCTAGATAGACTAAGGATATACAAAAATTGAGCTGACTCAAGTTCAACAAAATTGACTGGGACTATTGAGTGTGAGGTGTTGGGATTATACAATATTGGGACTCGGCAACTCATTTCAGTGGTTAAAAAAAAAAACCCAGTGAGTGTTAATGTCTGGGATAATTTGTCATGTCTAATGAATAGAAGACTTCAACAGATCAAAGAACCATAAATGAACTTTCTATGGCTTGATTTGACTTTTCATTTAGAAAGCTGATTAGACTTGTAATACTGTTGTACTGTGACAAAAGTAGCCATACAGCTGTAGCTTACAGAGTGTGGACTACAATAATAGCTAAAATTTGTTTTGTAGTAAAGATCAAGTCCAACATATTTGTATGAATCATCAGAGCATTATTATGCAATTTTATAATGATATTAATACACCTAATTACCAACTTTGATAGTGTTACCTATTTCATTAAGCCTGTGCATCCCATAAATATTATTTAGGAATAATGGTTAAAATTTCATTTTCTGTTATTTATTCTTTGGTGTTAATTTTTTTAAAAAATATTTTGGATTTATGTTATGACCTGATGGAATTATATTTAAAAAATATTTTGTATGTTTCACATTTAAATTCAAAAGAAATGAGTGAATCCATCCAAAAAAATTTAAAACTTAATTTGTACCCAAATTTTCAATCAAAATTAGGTGAAAAGAAATAAAAATTTTACCGTTTGTAGTAGACGAAGAGAGCAACAACCAGAATAATCAGTAGGACCAATAAGGTAACACCTGCTGCGATTAGTGCTTTTGTTGTAACATCCATGGTTTCAGTTGTATGTTTATTATCATCCTCCTTACAACCAGTTATTCCTGAAAAGTATTTAGTCTCACATAAAAACTAGTATTTAGTCACACATAAAAAAACTAGTATTTAGTCCCACATAAAAAACTAGTCTTTAGTCCCACATAAAAAAGTAGTCTTTAGTCCCACAGAAAAAAGTAGTCTTTAGGGCTGAAATTAATTTTATAATTTCTTTTAAGCATTATTTTTTTCTTTTTTTTAAAAAATGATTACTGGAAATCAAAACTCTACATTTTTTTTGCAGCAACTGTATCTGATAAACAAAACTTGTTTGACTTCATATGCAAGTATAATCTTTCAAGGAGATATGTAATAACACTTTAGTAATTTTGCCTGTAAATAGTTTACTCTGTATATAATTGATTAATTTTGATTAAAAAAAAAAAATTTTTTTAAAGTAATTACATTGTTCTTTATTGAAAACAATTTTAAATGAATTTTAATTTTATTGCCTTTCAACAAATCGAAATATCTTTCATATAAATACGCTTTTACTACCTGTATCAATAGACCATTTATTAGGGTTCTTCAGATCACAATACTGGCATTCAGAGTACACTGATCTTTTACCTTCACTGACACATGTGGTACCAATGAAACATACATCGGTCTGTTGATGAAAAGGAGAGAAGACAGGAGCTCAATAATTATTACAGATGATATATTAATAGTGTACGATAGTAATGTTTATGAAAATAAATTTTTAAAATTCTTTTTAATTTGCTTAATATAATCAAAGTTATTTTACATTATTTTTTTAAGATTATTGCCAGACCAATTTTCTCAAATGAAAAATGAATTTAGTTTTTTTGGACGAAAGAGTTTAGTGCGAATAAATGGAATGATATCAACAACTTTCAGTGATGAATAATATAACTTTGATGATTAGTATTCATAATTTTTATGTCATCCTTTAGCCCCCCCCCCCCCCCCCCCCCCCCAGTACTTTACCTTTTCAATATTATCTTCACTCCAGCCTAAAACTCTTTGCCATCTTTAAATCCCTTATCCTTTTTTCACCACCTCCCCAACTTAATCCTCCCCCCAATTCAAACCCCCTCTCCTGCAATCCTATTCACTGCTCCCCTTTCCCTTTCCATAAACCAATGTAATGTACTCTCATCACACACCCACACCCTTCAACTCTACCCCTCTCCAAACTCCATTGTCTTAGTTCTACCCTTCCACCCTTCATTTCTACCTTACCTGCTTCTCTGTAATACCCACCCTCTTCCCCATTTACCCCTTAACCACCACCCACTGGTGTTAGTTAAGGAACAATGTACTTCATGTGTTAAATTTCTGATTCAGTTAACCCCATTTGGATACCCTTATAAGTTACTTACCAATCTTTTCTTTATATTCAAATTTTTTTTCAAAATAATTTACACTTTCTAAATTCTCATTCAATTTTCCAAAATCCAACAAAATTTATTTTAATAACAAAAAATTGTTGCTTACTGTATTTGATAAATATTAAAATACTTAAGATTTCATTAATAAGCAAATTATTGCATACTTAGAAATCTGTTAATAATAACCTCTTTTTTTACAGCTATATTTAAAGCATAGAGGTGGATGAAGAAGATATTAGGTAATTTATTTAATTGATATCAATGTGCCTAGAATTTAAAAAGTTATATGTAAACCTAACGTGTTAATAAATATTTTTTAAAAAGACATAAGTATGTATGAAACTTATTAAACTTACATTTTTAATACAAGAATACATGGTGCATTCATAACAGACAGGATCGTAAGCGATAAAGTACTGGTAAGTTGGATATGGAGTTTTGCCATCGTTGCTTACTGACACTTTAACACTTCGCTTGATTGTGCTCTTGGTGCCCAGATCACACCTTACCAAGTCTGTGCCCAGTAAGTCAGCTCTTACAACAGTTATTTTAGAGGTCACATCTCTCATCCCACTCTCTGCAACCTAAGAGATGCAAAAAAGAATAACATTTGTGACATAAAATGTGAATTATTTATATGGAATAAATAAACTTTGTCTAAATGTTTCAGAAGTAGATTATTTAGCAAATGTGCTGAAAATTGTATGTAAAATAAACATTAATAATTAATGAATTTACATTAGATCAAAAAAATACTGCAGATATCCTTATTTTTGTGGGACAATCATTTTTTTATACTAAAAAAATTTAAATTATGTTAAAATCAATCATTTAAAACTAGTTATTGGTTGTAATAATAATATTTTGGGATTATTTAGATGTCAGTGTTAATATTAACACAATACCTGTCTTTGATAAATGTAATAAAGTGTTGAGCTGTAAATTGTATCACTATTATAAACAGATGACACTTACCTCCACTTCCTGAATGTGGCAGGAGAGATAGGATGAGCCGACAAAGCCTTTGCCAGTAATGTAAATGGAAGAACAGTCAGATGTTGCTGTGATTTCACACATATGGACTCCTTCATCAGGCTGTGTAAGGGTGGGAGGCGTCACTTGACCAACACTAAGTTCACAGCCCGTTCCAACATAGTCCTTATCACACAGACAAATACCTAACAAGAAAGATAAAGCTCAAAGATTTCTTTTGAGAAACTTTGGAACTTAAAAGCTAATGGTACTATGGAAATGTCCTTCTAAAAACAGCTTAGTTTTCATATGATATAGTAAAAAATGGTTTTCACAGTGCTTTTTTTGTTCCCTTTATTAGATAATCCTTGCAGGTTTTATAAAAACATTATATCTCATCATTCCACCCCCCACCCTTATTTTTTTAACCAATACACGTGTTAGACCTTTTCCCCTTCATAATGCCCTCCATTTTAGCCCAAAATTCTATTTTTCTCCCCAACTCAAGCCCTACTCTCCAGCCACCCAGTTCTTTTCTCTAATGATTAGTAAATGAAATCAGTAGATTCATAATGGAAACAATACATTGTTTTGAATAATTTGCATATTATTTTAACTTCACTAATTTCTTGTAGCTGTAAACTACTATTACATTTTTTTCTGATGTATAATATGTCTGCTATCAGTTCCATTTGAATCAATCTTAAATGTTTAATTTAGCATTGTAACTAACACTCAGATTTAAGGAATGATAATGAAATAATATAGATAAATAAATTTACGCACATCCTACATATCAATATACCTTTATAACATTTGCCTTTTCCACTGCAATCATAGGGCAAGCAGGTTGTATTCATAAAGGCAATGGCCAAGTCACTTGTTTTGGTCTGTTTCTGATACTCAGGATTGCGGTTTATTTCTTCAATACAAATCTGAGTAGCGACTTGGCGAGCTCCTTGAATCCATGAGGTACTATCAGAGAGCTATAAATGTAATCAAATAAGATGGGTAATTAATATTAAATTTAAACTATGTGATATTAAAATGACTAATTAAACAATTGTGGCTAGTATTATCAATCTCATTTGCATCAAGTAGTCTGTAAGAGAGAAATTAATTGTATAATTTGAAGATGCAGGTTTTCTATGAAACTATCTACCTACCCTTATATCATCAATGCAAACGCGCAGTGCATCATCTAGACTGAATGATTTCAGTGTTTCATCCATTGCTAAGACAGTTTCTCTACAAGCTTCTAGAGATGGATTGTACAAGTTGTCCATGCAATACTCAGTAGCCTTCTCTAGTGTCCATCCAGTGGGTGTCGGCCAGCCAGGTGCCTTTGGATATTGGTAAAATTATTGAAATATCAATTTCTTTCTAAAGCTTTTTTTTTTCTCCGCCTATCCAGAGATGCTTTATTATCACCTAAAAATTATACATAAGTTATGATAAAGTGTGATTTAAAACAAAACAGTTATTGTACTTTTACAAAAGACAATATACATACCACTCTGGTGGTATTGACAATTTCCTCCTCCTGTGCCACAGCCTGTCTCTTTTTCCTCTTACTGCCAGTGCTGGTCATTTGATTCATCATTTCAAGAAGTTTATTACTTTGATCTTCACCTGCATGGACAAACATAATGGATTAATTGAGATATATGTCATTTATTTTTGGAGAAAGAAATTCATTTTTTAATATGTTTCAAACCATTGAATAAGTAAAAATAAAAAAGGAATAAAACCCTATTAATAGTATTAATAATCCTCTAAATTTTCTGGTATTTTGAAATGATTGTCTTGGGGGATAGCTGAGTTATGTATTTTGAAATGATTGTCTTGTGGGATAGTTGAGTTGTGTATTTTGAAATGATTGTCTTGGGGGATAGTTGAGTTGTGTATTTTGAAATGATTGTCTTGTGGGATAGTTCAGTTGTGTATTTTGAAATGATTGTCTTGGGGGATAGTTCAGTTGTGTATTTTGAAATGATTGTCTTGTGGGATAGTTGAGTTGTGTATTTTGAAATGATTGTCTTGGGGGATAGTTCAGTTGTGTATTTTTTGGTGGGATCTTATAATCGTAAGAAAAACAATGTGAAATATATTTTTCTCCATTGATTCCAAACTTAATCGAATTTGATATTTAACTTTCATTTTTTCAAAATATTTACATTTATAAAAATAGATCATTCCTTTTTTCTTGTAAATGTAAATCCATGATATAAAAAAGAAACAAGAACATTATATTCATTATATCGTAAGTATTCAAAGAAGTTGAAGAAAAAGACAGTGATGATTAAAATTTGTAATTTATTCAAATTATGATTTATTTTTTTATTATAATATGGTTTATGCAATTATTCTTATTTTCATTTTAAAAATAAATACAAATAAATGTTGATTATTTAAGCTGACTTTACTGTTTACCTGTTACGTAGCCACAAGTAGTTAAGTGAGCTGACTGATGACAGGTGGGTTTGGTACCGGTACTACTGTTGGACCAGAGGTAACAGTACTCTGGCAGAGGTTCTGTTGTGATTTGAACACCAGGTGCAAAAATGCTAGCTAGGTCACTTGCATTGGAACTTAAGAAAAAAGTATAAACATTTCTCATTAGTTTTATTGATGCAGACTAGATCTGAGAATCTGTAATAGGACCATGATCATTGGTTATTAATAATTAATTACATAGATGACAAGGAAAACAAAGTTATTATTATTTTTTTTTAAATTTGAGAATTATTTTTTTTTGTGTTTATAGTAAAAAATCACATTGAGAACAATAACATGATTTTTGTAAAATTTAAATTGCAAGTTTTTAAAATGGTATTTTAAGATGGTATTTTTAAATTTAGATAGAATCATCCATTGACGTGTACCACTTAGTAAAAGCAATGAAGCAAAAAAACAAATGTATCCTAATATTTATTAAATGTAATTTATACATCTCCACAAAATTCGATTGAAACTTTAAAAACTGTACTCACACTTTCCAGGCATTATTATAAAAGTCTGGTGATATAACTCCAAACTGAGAATCTCCAGGAACCAATATGTATCTACTAGAGTCTGGCAACTGAAAGTCATTATTTCCATCTCCATTATTGTCACCACACTGGCCTAAATCAATAGAATACATGACATGAAACATATACAATACCAAACATATTCAGTTTAATTATTTGTAATACTGAAAACACAATGTAGGCCTGCACCAAATATGATTACATAAATCAAAATATAAATTATAACTTCATAAACTCAAGGGTATATTTATTTTCTGTAGATTTTAAAAATCAAAATTATTTAAATGAAACAACAATATTTACAGTAGATACCATTTAAATGTTGGAAGAAAGGAGAAATATGGTTTACCTCCTGCATTGCCCCTATCTGCAGCTGATGGCAATATCCAGACATTCATATAAGGATCGTCAACAACCACTTTTATGATAGTGCCTGTTGCCAGACAAACTACCTGTTAAAACAAATTAATTTACATGACAAGATTTTTAATTGGTAATTGATTTTTAATTGGTAAACAGGGACGATGAGACCAGGTCTGGGTCTGGGGCAATGATATTTATATATATTTCCAGGTCCAATGACATAAAAGAATGAATTACTTAGATAGAAAGAGTCTTATTTTTACTCCTACATTATAGAAATATGAAGTGAAACTAAATATTTCATTTTGGATAATAAAGTAAAAATAATAAACTATCAGAGCAAGTCCTAGAGTAAAAAAAAATCTTAGCCTGAGCTTTAGATTATGACAACATAGCAAAAGGTTCTTTGTGAGCTTAGGACTTACAAATCTATTACTTTTGAAAAAAATCACAATTTCCCCAAGTCATTTTGCTTAAAAATGAGGATCACCTTGATAAATAGTTATCACAAGGGTTGTTACTTTAATGTTCATTTTACAAAGATGTCTAACTAGAGAGATAATTACTTTGATAGCTGTTATTAAGGCAGCGCACCTTAATAAAAAAGTTTAATATAAGGAAATAATTACGCTGATCTACAGTTATTTTATGACTAAGATAACTGCTTTTGTTTGTGAATAACGGATATCTTCATATTCACTGTGAGTGACTTGACTGTTGGCTTGATATTGAAATAACCATAATTCAGGGATTAAGTTCTTTTCCCCTTTCATTGCCCCCTCCACTCTAGTCCAAAGCTCCCCCTCCTTGCCCTCTCTCAATCCCCTATCCTTTCTCATCCCCACCACCTTTTATTTTTTTTTTTTGGGGGGGGAGAGTGTTGGAGTTGGATATCATTTTATAAATAGAATTGTAAATAAGAAATATAAAATGAAGGTTAGGGTTAAACCTGAAGAAAGAATGCAACAACAAAACAGCAGCTTTTTCAGCTGAAAGCACTTAACAGCACACAAAAAAAGACAACAGAGAATAAAGACAAATTTGCTAAGACCAAAAATTATTAGCATTTTGTTTTTCCTTCTCTGTTGTCTTTTTGAGGACCACTGATGACTGTGTGAAACTCCATGTGTCATATACCTTCTCTGTTGTCCTTTTGAGGACCACTGATGACTGTGTGAAACTCCATGAGTCCTAAAGAAATTTTTTTTAATGAAAATTTTCTCAGTCCCAAAATATGGAGATTCCTTTAATTGAGATTGCATGGTGTACTAAAATAAACTTACGCTGTACGTCTTTTGATCTTTCTCAACAAAAAGACTTATTGGCAGATCTTTAGTTCCTTTTGGGGCATCAAAGGAGATCAAAGGAGTATTAGGATTGCAAAGATCAATGGAAAGTTTACACTTTTCGGCCATGACATGCACAGCACAGTTACAGGTGCCATGGGCTGCACATTGTTGATACTGGACAAGAACCTGTTGTTAGGGAAAGAAGATATCACATATTGGATAAAAAAAATTTGAAAAACCTTAAGGAAATTTTCAACCCTACAAATGTAGGCTTATTAGTGAAGGAAAGTTGACAGAAATTATTGTACCTTGAAGTTAAAGCAAAATTTATGAAAGTTTTAAAATGAAAGTTTTTTTCCATTTTACATCTATTAAGTGGTGTCTTCTTACTTTCTTACCTACCACAAAAATTACAATTACATGATTTTAGTTGGTGCTGCAAATAACATATATTTTTAGCATAAATTTTTGTTCTCAAGTATGTATTAATTAATAGTAATAGTGCATTGCAAATAAACTCAAGGGTCAACTAGAAAAAAATGTATTGTGTTTCTAGAATGGCTTCTGTCTTTTACTTACTGCTATTGCTTCTTTTATATGTCTGTGCAGGATGTATAGTCCACTATTCATATTATTATATTTACTATGAAAAAGAAGAAAAAAAATATAATCAATTATAAAGATGATCAATAAGAACTCATCAAATATCGTTAATACCATTTTTGGAGATTTTTATATCACTATACCTTATAACAGAGTAATGGAGTAATTTGAGGAGTACAGAGTTGAAATTATCAACTTATTAAAACCAGAGTAGTTAATATAAATCTTTATCAAAAATTCAAGAGTGATAACTAATATACTATTAATTTCATATATCAATTTAAAGAAAACTAAGGAAAAAAATTCATTCACAGACAATATTTTTAATCTTGAGTCCAATTAACAAAGTTTTTACTTACAAGCCATCATAGGTTGTTATATGGGGGTCATTTATTGATGAACACATGGACCTCAATGCATCTGTATCATCAACTTCAATCTAGAGGAGAAAAAAATGTCACGCATATTACTATTTATAAATCATCTGCAGAGAATACAGTTTATGAATTAAAACATACTTAAAAATATATAAAATATTTAAAAATAAAGCTTTAACTTACAATATATGTAAGTTTGAAGGATGCGCCAAGCAAGTCTTCATATGTTTCGTTACCAGAGGTAGTGTTGGTAACATTTCTGTATGGTATTACAGTAAATTCCAATTTAACCGACTGAGGACCATCCATTCTATAATCTTGGCGGGCATAGATGTTGAAGGCAATTTCATTACTGCTGTTACCTAATGTCTTGGGATTTGAGTCACTACAAACTTGGGGAATGGGATCATTCACTTGTGATCCTTGAAGGCAACTATAAATAGATTCAACTTTTGAATACAAGGTCATAAGCTAGCTATTAATAGGAAAACCACATGTAAAAATAACCAGATAAAATGTAAAAATGAATAATTTAAATAGTCTAAAAAAAATGTTAACCCAAAATTTGAATATAAAATAAGACTCCTAAAGAATATAAGAGATTGAATATATAGCTAAATTAAAATATCTATAAATGTTTCTACTACATCCAAAAGGAATAGTAATTCATAAATGCACAACATTTGAAGAAAAGCTTGGCTGTTTTTTGCAGGTAAATTTATATTAAGTTTATTAAGTTTTTTTTTTTTTAGCTATTAGCACTTCATATTTAGCTTTTCCACTTTTAGACTTTTAGTTGCCAAGTATGACTTTTCTAGTTCCACAAAGAAAGAAAGCTATGATTTTAAAAATCTTAACATGAGGTGCAGCATTTATTATTTTAAGATTTGAAGAAAAAGCCAATAAATATTTATATAAATGCCGTTTATTGGTATTTGTTAATTAACTTTTGCACACCTTGGTACAGTACTACTATTAATAGGCTGAGCCGACATAACCATTCGGAAATGTCTATATCCATCAACAAAGAGCCAACTGAATCTTGAATGTAGCCCAGCTTCTGAGATGAAATTCTTACTACTTTGTTGACCATTCACCTGAAAGTGAAAGAAAAAAAAAATTAGATGTGTGTCAACTTTTATATTGCTGAAAATTATATTTTATTAAATAGTTTGATAACTTAAAGAATCAACTCTGCCTATTTTTACCTGCAATAGTACAGTATGCTCACAAAGCTGAGTGTACCATGTCTTATCCAACGTACAGTTGACAGGCAAATATTGGCTGATGCAACGTGCTCCCTTTTGGTCCCTAGTAATGTTGATACAAGCAAATGAGGTTAACAGGATAACTCCTTCCCCATACATCTCTACTAGCATCTACTAACATCTGCTTACATCTACTAACATTTACTCCCCCTCTGTACTCTCCATCAGACCATCAGCCTCTCAATGTCTCATGCCTCAAACAGAACATTGCTCTCTCAAGCTCTCATGCCTCAAACAGACCATTTCCCTCTCAAGCTCTCATGCCTCCATCATCCCACTCAACCATTACCATTTATTCCTAACAGTTACCCCCTTCCGCCCTCCCCCCAACTTGTTTCTGCTTAAGCTTCTCCTCTCTTCAAATCATTCTTTACTAAAACCAAGAATAAAATATTCAAATGTCCAAAATTAAATCTATGCTAAACAAATTAGGTGCATACAGAGAAAAAATATTATATTCATGATAAAAGTTTTTAAAAGGGAAACACATACAGGCATGAACTTGCACTGTTTCCACCTAAGCATTCCTCTATTTTAGTTTTTGCAGCAAGACATGAAGGCACCTCACCAACACATTTCTGTTGGAAGGCTGAAGCTGCAAATAACATTTAAAATATTTAAGAATTACATTAGTTGTTATGCACTGTGTTATTACTTTTGCACAATATATTATTTATACATTTGAACTTGGTAACATGGTTAATATATTTAAAAATAATTTTTGATTTTAAAACATTGCATTCAAATAGTGGTGAACTACTGAACACTTTTTAAATTAAATAAAATAGCCTACAACAGGAACTAAATGTTAAGTAAAAAAATTGCTTGTCAATTTAAATCAATTAGTATTTAATTTTAACTGATATTCTGTTCAGAGAAAATTTAAGATTAAGTGTGGGGTTTCAGCTCTATAGACAAATTTTAAAAAAAATACATTATAATGAAATTAATAAAAAGTTATAAAAAAAGACAGCTTCTTACAATTTTGGATAATGTCATAAAGGCCACTGTTGCAGTCTCCTGTTTTTTGCTCCTGGATGATTGCCAAGCTTTGTCTTAAAAATAGCAAGAAAAATTTCAGCTCAATTTAACGTCATGAAAATCAATCAAATATATCTCTACACTTTAATAAATAACGTTTTAATGTTAAAGATGTTGCATTTGGGCCTACATTTATATTCATAAGCTATACAGATGGTCCCCACATAATGAACCAAATCCATTCTGGAACAGCATTTGTTATGCTGGGAGTTCATTATTTGGATTGTGATTTCCCATTTTAAAATTTTCAATTGTTCCAGGTTTTAATGATAAAGTTTGAAACAGTTTAAAAAATGTTAAATGTACTGGTGCTCACCAATAAGTACATTGGTAGGAGGTTAAGTGAGGACAAGGAGGACAAGGAGGATGTTAGGAGCAATTGCCGGACAAGGAGGTTATTAGGAGGAGTTGGAGGAGGAGGATTACAATTTTGCCAAGTTTCATTTACACTTTGTATACTTTCTTCTTGTGTTCTTCTTTTCTTGAGTTTTTTAGTTTTAGTCAGAGGAGTCATCGGATGTGCTGCTGATCTCCACATCCATCTACTGTACAGCAGCTGATCATATCTTTTGCTTCTAAAGAGGCTTTGAGAAACTGTCAAGAGTGTTCTGTGTTTTCTTTCTTTTTCAGCATCTGTTAAAACTAGTGCATTGTGGTGTCTTTGAAGAGATGAGATGACTGCTGACTTCAACTTGATAGGGCTGGCTGATGAGCACTGACAATTTTCTTGATGTCCTCCCACTTTTTCAAGATGTCTTCAGATGTCTTTGATGTCTGCAGATGGGACTGGCATCTCAGCCTGCTGCTCCTCAACTGAGAGAGCTTCTTTTTGGCCCTTCTCATGTTCTTGAGCCAGGAGTGCATGGAATTCCCCCATTTTCAGCTTTTCCTCATGTTCTTCAAAGATCTGTTCAAGATCCTTTTCCTCCACCCCCAAGTGGATTTCTCTGGCTGTCCTGATGATCTCCTCCACCAGATAAGTGTCTTAAGCCGCCACTCCCTTAAACTAAGTTGGAATCAGCTTCTTCCAAGCTGAATTCAGGGTTCTCTCTATGACCTCTACCCAGGACTTTTGAATGAGCCTAAGATGTCAAATTTTTTCTTCTAGAATTTGCGGATGGTGTCCATTTCAGGCAAACACTGTGTCACTTCAAAGACTTTCCTGCAGAGCACACCTGCCAAACATACCCCCCGCAGGCAGCATGTGGCCTGCCAGCACCCACTTTGCCGCCCATGAAGTAAAGAAATATTCTTTATTATTATTATAATTTTCTTAACAGCTTTACCCCTTTTCTATTTTCCTTCAGCCCACACAAGTTTTTCATTAAGTTTTACGGCCCCCTTTACATTTTGAGTTGTTCAGGCTTGCTGCAGAAGGCTCTGGTGTAAAGCTTTTGAAGTTTGAAATGGCCTGCTGGTCCATTGAAAGATGGAGGTGGTGTTGGGTGGTAACATAAACATACCAAAAAGTATACACATAACCATACACTCAAACGCAACACAAAAACACACAAGAATGCCACTGACTCCTGTTTCCCTTCAGAATTGCTCAGAATGAACTGAGGATGCCATATGATGCTCTGGCGTTTTGATTGTTTCAATTTTTTTCACACTGGCAAATGCTGGCGTTGTTCATTATGTGAGTTGTGGTTTGATAAGCAAGTTATTTTTTGGGCAAACAACATCAGTAGTTATGCTGATGATATATCATGAGGGGTATTCATTATATGGAGACCCAATGTACATGAAAATTAGATGGAAATTATTGAGAGAAATCACATAAATTATCCATTTAGTTAGCCCATTTTGCCTATAAACTTACATTCAAATGAATCTATGTTAAAATACAGCCTCTAGTTTAACACAATTTGCATCTATCAAATTCATTGGCTTAGTTTTATTGTTAAAAGCAAAAATATGGATTTCATTTAAATGTAAACAAATTGTAAGGGATTTAGCTCATTCTGTTATAATACCTTGGAATGTAAACCATTTACTTACGCAATAACTTGAAATGTAAACCCTTTACTTACGCAACACCTTGGAATGTAAACCATTTACTTACGCACAGAAAGATGTCGTATGCAGCTGGACATTTAGCAGCAGCTGTGTTATGAGCTCAGACAATTTTCTCACTGGAATTTGTGAACAGGAACTGGAGACATTCACTGCAAGTATAATTCACATGCACAGTCATGAGCTAAAGATGTATTAAAAGCATTGAAAATAAATAATTACCAAATGTAATAGAACCACTAACCTTAGAATAACATATGGAATAAACATGAGTTAGTTTTTTTTACATGAACATATCAGTTACCTGTGCAGGGGGTAGCAATTAACTTCTTTGAAAGTTCTGACAACAAATTTCTGGCCAAATCAATAAATGAAGAGTTGTTTGGATTGGAAATTTTCATGGCTATACAGTTATATTGTGATTGCAACAATTGACAAGATACATTTCTTCTACTATCAACATAAATGTCTCGTGCAGCTGATAAGAAGGAATACAGGCATCCATCATAGCTACTATTGTCACAGGATAAATCTTTACTGAAGCCAAGAGCTTGAAGCTAAGAAAAAAATATATTTTCTTTGAGCAAGGAAAAAAAATGTAATGTCAATTTATTTATTTAAATATCCTTTATAATATTTAAAATAGAATCTTTTGACTTGCACACTGAATTTTCTTCTTTTAACAATTATTAAATAACAACAAGTTAAGTAAATTTTTAAAAAATATCATCTCTGATTAATACATTGTATCAATGTTGCAAAACATAAAGTTATATGAATGCTCAACTCACTTTCTTCTCTAGAACATTATTTGCTTGAGTCTTCTGAGCATGATTACAGGTGACAGTATTTCTCTGTATACACTCATCAGCAAGCTGTTTCAATCTGGCAAGTAAAAGATATTGAATTGCAAAAAATTATAATATTCATTCAGGATTTTGAATCTTGATTGATATTTTTATGTTTCTTTTATGAGTTCAGTGGTTTTCAAATAAAATAGTACAATTAATACAATCCCTTTGTGCAATTTTGTCATTTCTTCAACGTTATAAAAAAAGCACATTGTATAATTCTCTGCAACTGCTAAAACAACTGAGTATACTTTACAGGAGAAATTTTGTCCATTGTACAAATACTGTGGGAATAAAATACATTGGTATTAATTATTGAAAGTACAAAGTTACTTTATAGTATCCCAAAACTCACTCGCATACTGTTTTTTCTCCATTGATCATCCCACGCTCAAGATCGACTTCACAGCCAGCGTTAACCACTGGGCAGATTTCTTCGTTACTACAAAGGTCATCAGACATCCATGGACATTGGCCATAAGCTGTTGTTCTGATATCTTTCAAGGATTCTCTTATGGCCTTTACATCACCACTTTCTGCATCACAAGATGTTGTGTTTGTAGCAACACATACCATCATTGACTGGATTTCCCTAAAAATAGATTTGAACATTAAAAAATAAAACTTGCTATGTTCATTTTAGAAGCTTATTATAATCTGTAATAACACTGTATCTCTCCACACTTTATCTGGTTATCACACATGTATTAAATTTCTCATTTGCCTTAATACAAGCATACTAACTGCATGAACGTTTACAAATTTTAAAGTCAAAAAATTCACTAGAGAGTTCATACCTTTCTTTTATCAAGCTCAAAAATGAAATAAATATAATAAGGAATCATTTAAATTTAATGAAGTAAAATGTTAAACTAGAATTCCCCAATTCTTACAGGCACTGTCGACGCCATATCAGAGAATCTCCTGTATTTAAATATTTGATGTTTAAATCAGCAAGGCAACGGAAAGAATTTCCAAGATAACACACACGGTTTCTCTCTGGTATAGCTGGGCAAATGGGAGCTGGTGGCAGTTCAATGTCCTTACAAGTGTCATTGACCTTATCAAACAATTTCTAAAGAAAATAATGAACGGAAAAGCTGTAAATTTTCATAAGACCATGTGTAAGATAAAAATTAATTTTTCAGTAGACATGATGGGTATTTATGGAAAAAAATGACATACCATATGGATTATTCATTTATTTAATAAGTTTATTCCTATAAAAAAAGATACAAGTAAATTATTAGACATAGATCTGGTAAATTGTTCAAGAATATAGTTTCTACATGTAGGATTTTAGGTACTATTACTTAAAACAGTGGCCAATGTTCATGTGTGTAAATTTATAAAAAATGTAGATTGTTTTATAAATGACATTAAGAAGCATAGTTTATAAGGTATATGGTAAAGCTAATTAATGGCTACATATCTAATTTAAGAAAAGAATGTTGAAAGGTTGAAAAGTTGAAATGTTTAAAGGTTGAAAGATCAGATGTTGCAATGTCATATAGTATTCAAAACGTCTGTTCACATGTTAGAAGTAAACATCAAAGTGAAATATATGAGCTTCTCCATAAAAAAATCATTGAGATGTATGAGTTTCTCTATCAAAAATCATTGAAATGTATGAGTTTCTCTATCAACAAACATTGAGATGTATGAGTTTACTATCAATAAAACATTGAGATGTATGAGTTTCTCTATCAATAAAACATTGAGATGTATGAGTTTCGAGATGTATGAGTTTCTCTATAAAAAATTGTTGAGATGTATGAGTTTCTCTATCAACAAACATTGAGATGTATGAGTTTCTCTATCAATAAAACATTGAGATGTATGAGTTTCTCTATCAATAAAACATTGAGATTAATGAGTTTCTCTATCAATAAAACATTGAGATTTATGAGTTTCTCTATCAATAAAACATTGAGATTTATGAGTTTCTCTATCAATAAAACATTGAGATGTATGAGTTTCTCTATCAATAAAACATTGAGATTTATGAGTTTCTCTATCAATAAAACATTGAGATGTATGAGTTTCTCTATCAACAACCAGGCAACATGATTTGTGATGATTAGTATCAGCATGATGTAGTGGTGCAGGAAGTGGGGGAAAGGGGGGTGTCAATTTTTTTACTTTCATTGTGGGCAGCCTTTTTGGTGCTTAGTTTTTTTTGGTGGAAGTGGACAATGGCCAGCTCCAGATGGCACTAACCCCAGCTAAGCTACTGTCATGATGATTTTATTGCCAGCTGAAAGACTGAATCTTTCATTTCAAAGAGGCTCATGGCAAAACACTGATGTTTTTAGGCATGTTAGAGTTAATTCAAGCTGACTTTTGAGACAGAGCTGGCAAAATGGTAAACTGACATATACTTAAAAATGTCACTAAAGTACATTAATATGCTTTGTCTTTGATTAAAATAATGTTAATATATGCCTAAATATATATTTACACAAAGGCAACAAGAAATGTTATCATTGCTATTTTCATGATCTGAATTGTGTAAATATAAATATTCAAAATGCTTTTATGATTACATAAAGATGACATAATTCGTACCTTGAATGCATCTTTGACTGGTTTAGCCTTTGCATCACTACATTTAAAAACAAATTCGTCAACACATTCTTGAGATTTAAGTCTTCCCCTGTAATGAGTTATTTTTTAATGAAATAAAGTTACAGTTCACAGGAACAACTTAGATATTTCATTTGCGATCTTCTAAACTGATTGAAAAATTTCCAAAAAATTAGTCATAGCTTTTATAATAAGAATTTGTTAACTCTCCTTTTTCTTTATTAGTTAATTGTCTACAATATATAATTTATTTTATTTAAGTATTGAAATCAAAGTCCCGATTGATGAAAAATAATGGATGCGTTTTATTGAAAAAGAATTACATCTTAAGTTTCCAATAAAAATTATGTCTATTAAGAATAATGGTTACATGGCATATTAAGAGTAATAAACTTCAAATCAAAGCTATTTATTTTAAAGTGGAGGTTTTCTACCATAGCTGTTCTGTCTGATAAAGATATAATTTCCAAAATCTATTTTTTTTTTCAAAATAAGGTTTAAACTCACATGCACAGTGCATCTTTATCATTACTACGGTCATAATTGGCTAGGATTGTACCAAGCTTGTTGACACATTCATATCCTTCTGAGATGACACAAAGTTGTATGGGATCACAAATTTCTAGTTTAGAAATCATGTTTGCAGTGTAAGTGCTGATAGACAAAAACCAATCTTTGTCAGCTTGGGGGCAATTAGTTAATGCTAGCTCCACACACTGTTTTACTGCATTCTGACTATATTCACTGTAATAAAAATTGAATAGTTTTTAAGTTTCAATAGAGAAAATAATTTTTTTGATATGATAACTATGAGACAAGCTAGTAATAAGTTTCAGTTCCAGTGGAGGATATAAGCAAATTAGAAACCTAGTCAGTAAATCGCATTTTATGGCCTCATAATCGCTAAAGCATACACTTTAAAAAAAAAAAGAAAATACAAGTGGCCTCAAATCGCTCATCTTAACCTTCTAGCGGGTGCACTCTTTTCGCAATGGGACAGGCACGATGTATAAAATTGATATCAATAAAGATAACAAACAATATTAAATTTAAAAGTAAGTTGAAAAAACAACACATTTATAATAGAAATTAATAGTTTATTTGTCATATAATAATGAGTACATAATTTTGAGGGAAAAAAATTTGATGTAAAGATTACACATTTATAAAAGCAAATACATTACAAGAAAATAAAATATGAAGTTTATAAATTGACTTTCTACTGCTTTGAGTAAGTTGAGGCAGCGCTAATTCATGGGATTATTTCTTTAAAAACACTTTTCTTCTAGCAGTAGTTTGATAAATTCACTTCAAGTGCATTGATGCCACGCATGTTTATCATGCACAAAATTTGACCATTGGCCAATGACGTACATGCCTCTCTATGTTCTACAATTGGACTCGGATCTCTTTTTTTTGTGTGAAATTTTGTGTTTTGATTCTTTCAATATATTGATTTGTGTGGTACATCACTCTAAGGGCAACTCCAGGATTCAAGATGGGTTTGTGCTATTTCTGCAGGGGCTATAATTCATGGAAGTTTTTGAATGAAATTTCTATTTTTCAAATGCACTCTATTTGAAGGTTGATTCTTATTCCATTTTGTTTCTTTGTATTTTCCAATAAAAAATATCAATGTCAATATTATCTTATACATCATCATTATCAACCTCTTCTTCTTTCGACTATGAATCTTTATGATGAATTTCACTCACATCTTGGTTCTCTGTGGCAACCTCATTTTTAAAATCTCCATCTACTTCTGCATCTAAAGTAAGTATTTTTTTAATATCCTCTATATCCTTGACATTCTTAAGATCAAACATTTTTCTACCACATGCCATGTAAGATGGCAGAAGTAACCTGAAATATCTAATGATCAGTATAATTATCTCGTTCTGGCACAATGTATCAAATTGATATTTACAATTTAAAAACACACAGACTTTAATTAAAAATAAGATAATGTTTCAGTATATATATACGAATATGAAAAAAATAACCTACCAGAGAAAGAAAATAAAACAATTGTCAAACTTAAAAAAAGTAATGTGCAAAGGCGGGGTGTATCAATTTGAACAAAACAGACAAAAGGAAAAGAATTAAGCTACTGATAAGCAGAGCTTGCTGTCATCTCTCATTAACGTTAAAAAAAAACGGTTGGCTTGTATCAATCTGATCAGACGCACCCAAAAGAAGTTTAAATTTAATGATTTTAAAAAATAGGACAACTGCATTTGTTTTCTTCAGGCTGTCATGAATATAACATGTGCATCACCTCTGGGTTGTGATACTGTCAGGTTTTTTTTTAAGCAAGAGGGAGAAATAAATTGAAACCAAATCTAGAATTATTGTTTAGGTCTTAAGTGTGACCTTGAACTTGCTATGTACAACTTAAGGCAATAAGAATTATCAAAGGGACACATGTTAACAGTCAATCATCATTGCCGTCCCCCTTTGTTGTTTTCAATAATGACAAACACATTTCATTGGCTACATATCAACTTTCTGATGCAGTGTCTCATCAAATCCAGCAAATACAGCACTAAATATTCTTTTTAATTGAAAGGAAGCAGTCAAAAATATTTATAAATGTAGAAAATACAATAAAAAATACTTACTCGCAAAGTTCATTTTTCTCATCAACCGTGAGTAGCTTTACTGTAACAGTTCTTAGCAACTGTTTGCTGATACAAGCTCTCGCTTTAGAATATGAACATGTTGCCGTATCTGCAAGATAATTAAAAAATTAAGTAAGAATTTGGATTCAATAAATGAAGTTACTGTTTCCTTTAAAGCAGTTTAAATTTTTCATAAAAAGTGAGTTCTGTTGCATTCAACTAAAAAATAAACTAATTTTAAGTTCAAACTCCCTTCTTCATTTTTAAAGTACATTTTAAAAATCAAATATTTTATTTTTTAGACATAAACCAGCTCTTGCACCTTGTACTTAAAATATTAGTATTAATGACTCATCACACCATACTCAAATTGATTTATAGTTCTAAAGCAGTGCTGTTCAACCTTATTTACTCTATGAGTCAAAAAAATGTTTTTCTGGAAAGCCAAGGGCCGTACATGGTATTGCAAAAGAAGTTTTATTACTCTTTATAAAATTATTTAGATTATTAATACTTCTTATACCTTATGCATAAAGAATCATATATTCATTAGCATTATCGGCTCATCATGAATATAAATAAAGCTAATAAAAACTGTAGCGCTTCTTTAGTGAGGTATTTTGATTGAATTGTATTTTCAATTTTCTTAATCTGCCATAGTTTACAGTAGTACCTGCCTTCATTAGATTTTCTAAATCTTCACCAGTCAAAGCTTTACGTTTTTTGGAAATTATGTTGGTCTTTACAGAGAATCTATCTTCACTGACGTATGTGCATCCAAAAACATGGTCAAATTTTGTTACACTATTTTGGTAGTTGTGGAAATTCATCAGAAGAAATATACATCATCTAGATTTCATTTGGCTATAAATTCTTATGTTTGTTCATAAAAAATTACTTTCGAGACGCATTCCTAATGTTTTTCATAATTTATCCATGACTGAATTGCAGTAACTAACTAAGAGACACAGCTTGTATCCTGCTTTCTACTCACTGAACGTCTCATACTCAGATCTCTGAATACCAGGTACTTGTCGCTAATATCGCAACAATACAGAATGGACATCTTTAGTATCCCAATTTCCATCATGATCATTCTGGCTTGAAGATTTTCCTGTCATATTATTATTAACCTACAAAAAGCAGCTGTTAACACACAGTGCTCACTTATCTACTTTAACTAGCTTGGTTCCAATGAAGAGGGCATGGCCAATTTTACGATGACCAATTATTTACACATCAATTTAATTTTTTTTTCCCAATTCAACTTTCTCAACGCCAATAGCAATTATACGTAATACCCCTCAATGCCTGCCATGTACAAGCAACAGAAAGAAGGTGAAGATAGCCCTCAATGCCTGCCATGTACAAGCAACAGAAAGAAGGTGAAGATCCCCCTCAATGCCTGCCATGTACAAGCAACAGAAAGAAGGTGAAGATCCCCCTCAATGCCTGCCATGTACATGCAACAGAAAGAAGGTGAAGATAGCCCTCAATGCCTGCCATGTACAAGCAACAGAAAGAAGGTGAAGATCCCCCTCAATGCCTGCCATGTACATGCAACAGAAAGAAGGTGAAGATAGCCCTCAATGCCTCCCATGTACAAGCAACAGAAAGAAGGTGAAGATAGAATACAATGTCAAGTCACCCCATGTTGGTTGCTCTTCATTTAAAATCAGTGTGGGGGCCACATGCCGCATGTGGGCCTAGGTTGACAGCACTGACCTAAAGTAATCTATAAAAATATTCCTAATATATAACTATTTTAACCAATACTAAATACAAAGATATACTTTTTTTGAAACAATGTACTTACCTATAAAACGCTGATCTGAAATTTAACAAGAAAAATTATTTCTAGACAAAAACAGGCAAAAATAAAATGACTATTTGCTAAATGTAAGTGAAATAAATATTACCAATAGCAACTTATTTGATCTCCAGTAAGATAACAGTCATTGATTATAAGTGAAATGTTGAAACATGTTTTCACTAGTCATGGGACGATACCAAAATTTTAAACGATTCCGATACGAATCCGATTCTACCCTATTATCCCGATTCCCCATACGATTCCGATTCCTGGCCATTATTACATATATGTATTACTGTGCCCAGGAATTAACATATTTAATTAATATAAAACTTGAGAATTGATTAGAAAAGTTTATTAACTTGCTATTGAAGCTTTACAATATGCTAGATAACAATGTCTTGGAAAGGTTTTATACGCGAAACAAACTTTTCGCTGTCACCGTCTTACGGCAGTTAATCAGTTAAGAATCGTTTTGGTATCGGAATCGGGTCTGAATTATTCAGCTCCGATACCGATTCCCGATGCTTTGGAAAAATCCTGATACTTCGGTTATTCCGATACCATTCCGATTAATCGTCCCATCACTAGTTTTTACTTAAGGAATATTTATGGAGATTTAATTGTATTTATTACACATTTTTTTTACAAAATAATACAAAAAAGGAAATAAAAGAAAAAACTCACCTGTAGAGCTGTTATATTGAATTACAGTAACTGAGAAATAAAATAAAATTACATATAACACATTTATAATAATTAAAAACTTATGTGAATGTAGCATAAAAATAATGAGTCTTAAAATTAAATTTTCAAATTAATTTGATTAATTTGCAAATATATATTATAAAGTATAGGGCCTACCATTAGCTGAATATGTGAACACTTTGTTAGACACATATTGTATCATTGTTACGATTGGGCTTATGCTGTTTACTGACTTGAGATTGATATATAGCTGTGGGAAAGAAATAAGATATACATTTTTATTGGGTCATTTTATTATATCATTGGCCAATTTATTTCATTATTTAAATCATATATAAATGTGGCAGTGTATGCCCCGTTAGCCCGTTATTTTGAGACAACCGTTATTAGTACAACCATGTTTGGCGCCCAACGCGAGGTCGCGCGGTGTGACCTCGCCTAGCACTGGATCGGAATGTTGAACTCAGGTATCCCTTTCACCCCACCCGGCGGTCTCTATACGGCCGGCTTCTCCTGCCCATAGGGGGGAAATAATAGAATACCACGATGTGCGCTTTAGTTAGAAAATCAATAATTTATTTCTCGGGAACCCTAGCGTATTAAGTTATAAATTATATCTAGTTAGAAAGGGGATTTTATTCACTATACCTTAGCATATTTACAAGTTTCCATCGTTGGAGAATATTTTAACATTTAGTCATTAAAGGAGTTTTCGCCTTCATTTATAGTGGTCCCCACCCCTTCTAGTTAAAATATCTCAAGAACTATTTAACTAATAAAAATATAAAATAGTATCTTAGATAGCTGAGATAAAACTGCACAGATCACATATAAGTCGTTAGGGCTTTGGTCAGAGATTTTAATTATTACTCGGGATTAGTCCCCAGAGTTAGGCATTTTATCCCAGGAAACTGGCCAGAAGGCAAAACGTAAACCGACTTGGTTAAGTCTGACGGAGGGGCTCTCTCATATGTCCGCGCAAGGCTTTAAAAGGGGGAGCACACTAAATTGGGGGGTCATTCGAGATTGGTCAGCATCCCTGCAGTGTGCCTTTGTTCAGTGCGGCCCATTGGAACGCTCTGTAAGTAGAGGCAAATACGCCATTTTATTTCTTTGTGGTTAGTAGGAACTTGTTGAGTGTTAGCATTAGAAGATTTCTGTTCAGACTTATAGCCAGGATATAGTGTAGAATAACCTACAGCGTGTAGACTTATGCTCAGGCTATTTTAAAGGTTAACATACAACCGGTAAATAAATTCTTTAATAGGATTAATAAATTAGATACCAGTGACCAGGGTGTGTGAGCGTAACAAACAACTGCATATCGTTCTGGGTACACATACTGCAGTGCGCTTATAAAATAAGCTATTGATACAACAGTATACAAACAGCGAGTGTCCGTCAAATATGTGTAATAGGATAACTTTCATGCCGTGTGCTAAATTCTCACATAGGAAATGGTGCATGTGTGAGGATCATATTCCATATAATGATTCATTCTGCAATCTGGCGTTGTCTTAACAAGACAACAGCGATGGGCAGATACAACTATCAAGCCAACGGTGGTCATACTTTATACCATTGTATGTACTGTCCTGCTATGGGTGCTTCTTACATAGACACCATACCTGGATGGCATACTATAATAACTTCAAGATCTGTAAAGTTTATGTTAACCCTCACATCGCACTCTGGTTCTGTGTGTAGCATTAACACTGTGCACGTGTTTCAAATTAAACACTGCACGTGGTTTCTTTTATAGTTAAAACATTCGTAGTACAAGATAATTATCTTTGCCATGTGTATAAAACAATACTACGTACGTATCATTTATCATGCTTTCTAATTAAAATAATTATCTTTGCCATGTGTATAAAACAATACTACGTACGTATCATTTATCATGCTTTCTAATTAAGTATATGTTGTCGCCACCTGTAATTACGTGGTTATGTAACATGTTTATTTTTAGCTATGTTAGTCAGGACATTGTTGACCTGTACTATTTGTTTATTTTCAGATATTGTCCTTTTTCTTCATAGGCTTCTTCTCCATAGTTCATAGTGTCCTTTTTCTTGTTTTCATCATAGGAGAGCATTAATTAAAAAGCTATAGTCCTCAAGACCTGATTGTTTCATTTTGATTTTGATCTTATTTATAAAACTGTAAGCTAAACGTCATCCACTCGGCTACATAAATTATGAAAATTAAGGCCAAGCAGTAGGCTTGTTCATTTGAACAAATCAGAGAATAATAAAATTCATTATTTTCAAATGAGGTAATTGAGATAGAAAATCCTATTAAATAAGTGAAAAAGAAATTGTTATTCCCTGAATTGAAAAACATCAACCTACCCTTGAAAATAAGAAATATATAGCATCAGCACTTGAGGTCTTTCTCATGCTGAGTATAGTTCTCACATCATTGTAAAAATTAGCCACAAATGAGAAGGAATATGCATCTGGAAGTGTTACATTAAATGCTACATTGCAGGAGAAGCTAAGATTTTCGAAGTATGTTGACAGGAAAGAGTGCACTATAGTGGCACCCCATGACTGAGAGCATTGCTTGTTGGCTAAAAGAGCTTGCA